TTGTTTAAAAATATTATAAATATTGGTACTGTTCTTTATGAAAGGAAAAAACAAAGTCATAAGAGCAGCTCCCTTATGCTCACCCAGCTAAAGCTATTCCTTAAAATTGAAATTTAATCTTACAGCAAAATTGAAATTTAATCTTACAGCAAAAAGAAGTCCGTTAACTACTCCCACACCAACGCTACTTCTTCGAGTAGACATGCTGGCAATGACTGTCCATTCCTGAGTCCTTGGGTCGAACTTTTCAGCAGTATTGAGACCAGTTGAACCATCGAAACCTCCTACAGCATAAATGCAATTCCCTAGAACAGCCACACCCAACGTAGACCTCCGTGCTCCCATACTAGTGCAAGTACTCCATTGATCCTGAACTGGATCATAAAGATCAACAGTACGAACACGTAGGGAACCGTTAAATCCACCCACAGCATACACTTTTCCTGAAATAACCGCAAGGCCGGCTCTGAAAATAAAAAGAATTATTATTTTAGCAATAATTATTATTATTAAAAATTAAGTGATTTTCGTTTTCTTTTTTTTTTCTTTTTTGTAGTATACCTATGGTTCTACTTTAATGCCTTGTGAACACCATAAGACTTGTTGAGTGAATGAATGCATGCATTACACTGAAATATGCTATTTTTCATATTAATTTTAAAAAAGTTATGGGGATATTAAAAATACTTGAAATTGGTTTGTCCTAGGAGACATACGATATGTACCTGTTTCTTTATAAATTTAACTTAATCTTTGAAAAGAGAAAAAAGATAAGTAGACTGACCTGCAACGTCTCGATGGCATCTCAGCAACTTGGTACCATTTTTCTTCTTTGAAATCGTAACATTCCACACTCCTGATTGCCTTTGGTGCTTGGCCTCCTACTACTAACAAAACCTACAATAATAAAAAATATTAACTTCAAAATAAAAAAGGAAATATATAGTATTTTACTTTTGGCAATCCAACAGGTTGTCGTGGTTTTGTTCTTGGAGTCTTAAAGCAAGTCTTAGTATCTCCTTTGAGCAAATGGTATTTAAGTGCTTCAATTATGTAATCTTTGCACTGCAAGTCGGACTTTAGAAGGGGCTCCTCTTCAACACGTTGCACTAAATAGTCCTGGGACATCAAAGGAAGCCTCACGTGCTCCATAAGAATGGCAAGATACTGACGTCGGTTTTCCAAATCATGTTGTACCCATGAAATCACACATTCAAATACCTGCGATTAAAAATAAAAAAAATTAAATTGCTTATTACATTACATTATCAACAAACAGAAATACCTTTTCTTCTGTAGGAACTGTTAAATGGTCGCTACTAATTAATTTAGAAACTTGTTGATGGGATAATGTTAGAAACTCTTCACACTCAACAACCTCCCTGTTAAAAAAAATGTTATAATTACAAAAATTGAAATATTCTTAAGTTAGTTTGAAGTTTTTACAAGTATTGTGTTAGGTTTACGAACAAACAACTCTATTTGCCTCTGCATGAATACATTTTAATATACTTTCTGGTAATCAAATCAGAAGATAGTATTTTAAATTTAACTTACGGAAAATGTTGCTCAATGTAAGTTTCTGCATTGCTCAGCAAATCTAAACAACTGTGAAGGTCTGCAAATGCCCGAATCCCTAAACAATTTGTAGGATGCAGCTGAGCTTGTAAAAAGTCACAGCAAGCATCCCTCACATCTGTTAATTGGAGCAAATTTGCTGCCGGTAGGAGCATCTATAACAAGAAATATGGAATATCATTTATACAATACAGGATAAATTGCAATTATTATAAAACTAAAACTGCACCACCTTCTATATCTTACCTGTACATTTTCCTCTGTAACCTGAACCTCTGATGTATAAACATAATCCAAAAGTAATGAAAGAGCTTGATGGTCGACGCCTTGTAAAGTTACTCTGTCTTGTTTACTCTCTTCAAAACTTGTAAACATAGCATAAAAATAAGGAGAGCATGCAGCAAGAACTATTCTGTGGGCAGGTATTTCTACATTATCTGCTATAAGTGTAACATCACACAATAGATTTTTCCTAAAATAAAACGTAAGAATAAGTGAAGACAATTTAACAATTGTAAAAATACATACTTCCTCAAAGAACTGATAACATCAAAAGCACGATGGGTGTGGTGGTGATTTCTATAAGGAGGTTTTTCTCTGCTGTCTGGTCGAGGAACGTGTTTTTGTGAACTTTCATCCAAAGAATTTTGGCTGGCATATCGTAATAATAAGCAACTTGAATAGAAACAAATAGTTAATAATCAACTATTACTACATACATCTATAAACAATTAAAATCATGCAAACTATTTCCCTTTTTTTAATATAGTAAAGCTGCATAAATGAATTACAAATTCTAATAAAACCTTTAAAACATGTAAACAAATAAACGTAATACATGGGTGACCTTTATTTTAGAATTTTGGCAATTGTTACCTTCCCTGGCGTTCTATTGCAGAATCTCTTTCGTTTGTGTATTCCATTTTATAGGAATAAAATGTTTTAAACGTACTACCAACACATAATTAAACGACTGAGAACATCACAAGAACAGTAAATTTGCATCAAAAATTATTATACAAAACAATTAGCCTACACAAATTTGTAAACACTCACTATTCTATTCTGATCTATCTGCTATTCATCAGAGATAAACAGCTGTTTTATGATTGTACCAAACGTACCGAGCTTCCAGAAAGTATTTAAAACCACCATATGAAATACTTAAACCATTGGCAGTATATTGTAGGTTCCAAATTTCTTTTTCATAACGATTAAATTGACTTATTTAAGTTTTACTCTTATGTGATTAACACAATCTTAATATTCATGACTTCAATGATAATTGTGGTGGTATAGTTTAGACACCAATAAAAGGTTGGAAAGTAAACGTCAAAAATTGAAAAATTAAAGGTTAGATATGGTTTAGGTTAACTATAATATAATAAACCATACAAAATATGATATAAAAAGAAGGTGAAACAGCAATAAAAGGTTAAATAAAATCATTTCAATGATTTTGAATATTGTGTGTTTCAACTAAACAACGATAAAGTAGTTACTGCCGTGTAGAATATGCCATGTCGTGGATAAATGAAAACCCCTTAACATATTTTCAGTCTTTCTGTAGTAAAGTTTTAAAATGTGGCCCCATTCCAAGACACGTCGCAATAATTATGGACGGCAATCGCCGGTTCGCTCGTAAGACAAACGTAGAGAAAAGCATTGGTCATTCCAAGGGCTTTGAAAAATTAGCAGACACGTTACAATGGTGCAGAGAAATAGGAATTAATGAGGTTACAGTATATGCATTTAGCATAGAAAACTTCAAACGAAGCTCAGAAGAAGTTGAAACACTCATGCAATTATCAAGGGAAAAGTTCAAAAGATTATTAGAAGAAAAAGATAAATTAAAAGAAAATGGTGTTAGTATTAGAGTAATTGGAAACTTGTCTCTATTACCAGATGACATTAGAAGCCTGATTGCCAAAGCAATTCTAATGACACAAAACAATAACAAATTCTTCCTGAATGTGGCCTTTGCCTATACATCACGTGATGAAATCACAAATGCTATTAAAACTGTTGTTAATGGAGTCCACAATGGCTTAATTGAAAAAAAGGATATCGATGAAGAGTTGCTAACAAAATGCATGTATACCAGCAAAAGTCCTGATCCTGATTTGTATATCAGAACTTCAGGGGAAGTTCGCTTTAGTGATTTTTTATTATGGCAAAATTCAAATTCTGTGCTTTGTTTTGTTGAAGTGTTATGGCCAGAATTCAGTTTTTGGCATCTATTAAAGGCAGTATTTTATTATCAGCGTCACTATATTGGAATTCCTGATAAAATGATATATGTGAACGAAAATCCAAGAAAAAAAGATTTTCTGAAGTTTGTTGAAGATGAAAAAATTGCTGAATTAAAAATGTATTCTAACATTCCTATAAATATTTGAAAAATATTCTCCTTAATCTATAACAAATTGTATTAAAAATAAAGCATTGTAATGGGAAAATTGTTTTATTACAAAACAGATATAAAGCAAATTTGTAGAAATTATTCAATATACCTCCGTATATTAAAAAAAAGCTAAAGAAAAAAGGATGTTTATTAAATTAACTTAAAAATGAATATAAATGTAATAGTGCAAATGAGAAAAGTATATATTATTTAAACACAACTGTATCAAGCATTGCCCCTAAACATTGTACAATGTTATTTGTCATTAAAACATCAACCTTTTCCTCAAGATGCCTTTTAGGGTCTTGCTTACCAACGTTCTTAATAGCCAACTGTTCAGGGGTCATTTTTTCTTCCTCTTCAAGGGCTTTATTATAATTTTTGGCTAGCTCCAGCATACTGGCAACTACCTTCTCATTTGTACTACAGTTTTCAGTGTAATTGGCTAAAGTCAAACCATCCATCCAAGTTTTCTTGTGCAAGTTCAAAAGCATTTTCTGTTCCAATTCATTCTTACGATAATTGATGCTGATTGAATAATAGTGTCGATTTAAACCATGAATTAGTGCTTGAACAGATGGCTTTTGCAAATGGCCTAAATTTGATGTTGTTTGCCTTGGCTCTTGACCTAATACCATCATGTTTGGATTGATTAATCTGTAAATTATTAAGTAAAATAAACTAACAAATTAAATGTATGCAAATAAAAAATACCTAAATGCATCAATCACTACTTTTCCTTTTACAGACTGGATTGGATCAACAACCACAGCAACAGCTCTTTCAGAAAGTGCTTCAAATGACTGCTGAGTATTAATATCCACACCTGACAACCAACAACCAAAACCAGGATGGGAATGGTACCAGCCAACCACCATTTCAGGTCGACCAGTTTGTCTTAACATATCCAACATTTTTGCTTGAAATACTGGATCAACAGCTTCTACACTGACTCCTGTTCCAGTTTGGGGCATTGCAAAAACATCAATTACACAAACTGTGTAATCGTCCACAAATTCCCCTGTAAACAAAAAAGTCAAATATGTTGTTTATCATGTGCTTTTAAATACAAACCTAACATAAGACCCATAACTTCCATAGGAACTCCAGCACGTCCGTGTTTAAGCATTTTTAAAAGAGCTAGGGAAGATATGTAGACTTGTTCAGCAGTATCTACAACTGGAGCATCTTGTGATGGTGGAGCCTGAGAAATACCAGGCATTCCTCCTCCAAGTCTCAAAAGACGATCCATTTATACAGTTAATTCAACAGACTAATTCACAAATCACAAAATTAAATTGATATCTTTCACTAGTTTGTTATTACACACAAACTGCCAGTATTACTATTTATTTAATAATGGTATTTATTGAAGAAAGTAATTTGGCTTTTGTACTTATAACACTTTCTTTTTATTTGAGGTTATGAACCCAATGCTGCGTCATGCAAATTATAAAACAGTAGTCATGAATGATTGCGTTCAATAAAAAAGAATTTGAAGTGAATTATATAGTTTAATTATTTTATCATTTACATACATTTTTTAAAAATCATACTGTCAAATTTTACAAAAAACAAAATTTTAAATGAGCTGTTAGCACATTTATTTCTTAATTATGTTCAACTTATCATAAAACAGTTATGGTTACATGAATAAACAAATATGGTCACATTCAGTTAAGTTTATAGAACTCTAGTTGAGTGTGTGATAGTTATAGTCTATGGCAGATTATTAGTTTGTCTTTTAAGAAAAATAATTATATCTTTAATTTTTGTAATATTATGCCTGGAAACGAAGATATTGCGGTTTTACCGCCTAAACTATCTGGTGGTCCAAAAGGTTTAGGTAATGCTGCCTCTATTTTTTAAAAAATAATACTTTATCTTCTTAGCCGATGTGTATATCTATGACTGACGTATTTGACGGCTTGACCATAAATAATTAATAATCATTCATCATAGAACTATAAAATGATAAATAGTAATAGTGGAACTATAACACCTGACGGGTTTTTATTTTCCTTATATTTTTATATTGTAGGCGATCCAGACGATAAAACATTAAGAAAAGTAGAAGTAGATGTGATGATACCAAAAAAAATGAGAGAAGTCGCCAGAAATGAAAAATGCACTGAAGAAGTTAACCATTTTAATGAGTGCTGTAAAAATAATAATGTTTTAATGGTAATCAAATGTAGAAATGAAAACGCTGCTTTAAAGGAATGTTTAACAAAATGGTACCAAGATAAAGATTTTCAGGAAAGGTGTAAAAACGAATATTTGGAGGAAAGAAGTAATTTTAGAAGAACAGGTATAACACAGAAGCAAAAACAATTAGGTGCGTCGATGTAATTATTTTGTTATATTCAGATAAACAGTAGAAAATAAATAAACAATACAATATTATTATTGAGTTTTTTCTTTTTTTCCATTATCTCTTTCTTTACTTGGTATCCATCTCCTTGCTAGTGTTTCATTAACTGATATGTCTTGAATATCAGTATATTTTCTTCCAGTAATATTTTCGGGCCACATTAATTGGCAAATAATTAATTCCTATAAACGCAATGTATTATTATTTAAAAGTTTCGAATATTTATGTACTAATTTGTTTAACGGCCTTTCTAGATTACCTTTCCACAATTTTCGCACAGTCTGTTTAATCCAACAATTTCAATTACACTCATTTTGCGTCTACATAAACTAGTTCGTCTTTCTAAATTTTCGGGATTAACAACATCAATTATAACTACATATGAAGCATGATAAACTGAAGGGCCGTCCTTATAAAGTACTGTTAAAAATAGAGAATCATTAAAATTTTACAACATTTTTACATAATAAGACTTACAAAAATCACCACCAAATTTTAACCCTGGCTTAACTACCCATTGTTTAGATCTAAAGTAGTGATATACTACATAGTTTTGAACAAAATATTGATCTGTACTTGAAAATAACGTCCATGCTTCATCAGTTGTTAACAGTCCCTTATCCGCAAAAATATCTATGCAGTTAAGGCCGTTTAATAGAAAAAACGCTTCTTCTAGTCCGAGAAATAATTTCTCTGATATACAAACATTATCTATTTCATATACTGCTTTTAAGTTTGAAAAATAGTCGTCATTTTCTGAATCACTATCTGGGACGACAATAATTTTAAATTGCGATTTCGATTTAATTCTGCTAGCAATTTTTTTTCTTAAATCAAACTGACGCTTGCGAATGATTTTATCACCTTTATGAGGATCGAACGAATGAAAATTTTTTGATAAATTCATCTTTCCAAAGAAACCATTCATATATAACTTTTTCATGTGCTCTTTGTCGTTAACTACTATGGAATAGCCATCAAAGTTACACTGGATTTTAGAAGTATCAGTAGATGTATTGTTTACAGGTAAAGGGGCCGTAGGACTAAGTTGCAGGTTCCTTTTTCTTTTGGGTTCCTTTACTTGCATTTTAAAACTAAAAAGTTACATATTAAAACCATAACAGGTAATTTAGCCACTACATGCAAAATTGTAGGCACGTGAGTTCCTGTTGGAAACCACTGTTCACTGTTTATAGCAAGTTGAAAGATTTGCAAAAGAATCGATAGAATTGTAAAAAACCAAGTTTTATAATATTGAGTGTAAGTTTTCTAAAGTGAGTTTATTACAAGTTTCCATCATGGCACAAGTAGCAGACGATCCGAAAATTAAAGAAATTATTACCTCTTTAGATGATGATAAAATAGGTAAGATGAATGCCCAACCCACTTTGCTTGGAAACTGTATTTCTTATTTCTATTCAAAAATCGTGGAACATATTCACTAAACACATCAGAAAGACATCTGTCTCTTATTTTTTTGAAGAAATGCCCAGTTATTATGGCTAAATTTCAAAAACAGGGCTTAACTCACGTGACGTTTTAATTAGCAAAATAAATAAACCAGAGACTACAAAAAGTTGGTCATCTCCCAAAATTAATAAATAGGTTATAATCTTGCAAATAATATTTTTAATTATTGCTATTTAATTTTTTATTTTGTAAGGATTATTTTAAGTATAAAATGTTGGCCATTTCAGATATGCTTGCTGCAACAAGTGTTCTTCAACAACAAGCAACTGATATTCGAAATCAAAAGATTAATTGGCAATCATATTTTCAGTGAGTATACTTGCATAGTTAGTCTTTTCGAACTAATATTAAATAAATTTAGATCACAAATGATTTCTCAAGAAGACTACAAATTCATTGTTGCCTTTGATGTCCAGGACCATGCCCAAAGAGAAAAACTTTTACGCACTGAACGTCTTCAATGTGCCAAGACCTTTCTGAGTTTAATTGGACATGTTTCAAAAGACCAAACACTACAATACATTTTAGTTTTAATAGATGATATGTTGCAAGTATGTATCTCTGAATGTTGCTTGATGCATATGTATGTTATAATCATTTTCATTAGGAAGACCGTTCAAGGGTCGAAATATTTCATGAATATGCAAATATTAACAAGGAATCAGTTTGGCATCCATTTTTGAACCTTCTCAATAGGCAGGATGGATTTATTACCAACATGACTGCTCGTATAATTGCAAAAATTGCCTGCTGGTCTCAAACACCTATGGAACGTAGTGATTTACACTTTTATTTGACATGGTTGAAGGACCAACTAAAGTCACAGGTAAGCCTTCTTATTTTCTTTGTTGTTTGTTTACTAAATTAATACTATTTATCAAAATTTACATTTCCTTTTATAATATTAAAACCATCAGGTGATAAGCTTAGTATATAAAGCCCTGTAGGGTATCTCACTCATATTACAAATATTTATGACATTCTGAATATTATTAATATGTTTTATCCTAAAAATATGAGTGAGACAACCTGAGAGAGCAAATTGACTACGCTTATTATTCCATGTCCTTACTAATATACTGAATGATAATTTAAATCAATGTTGTTATACTTTCAAAAATATGTAGAAGTATCATATATATCTGCTTATTGGTGTTTCTTCTTAACAACAACATATTTTCTTTAGTGTGTATAACAGTTTTCTTCTATTTGTTTTAATTATACTATATGTTTATCATATTCGTCTGTAACTTGTGTTTTAGCTAATTCAGGGTACTAAAATACTTATATGAATTAACAGTTTAATTCAATGCCTATTGCATTTGAGAAATTACTGAAAGCAATACATACATTATTTTAAAAATAACAAATTAGATATAATTATTTTCTCTATATATGTGAAAAAGATTGAAATTAGTTGTTTTTATTATGTAAGAGTAACCGATACTAGACTGGGAATTAAAAATCTAGATTAAATGTTAAGGATTTTTCATTAGTATAGTAAAGAATAGACTTGTATATTGTGGTGTTTGTTGTTACTAACGATGGTGTAATTACACAAACGACAGTATTTACTACACTTGAATTGTTTAGGGACAGTATTTGGTGCCAATATATTGACATTATTTATAAGGCTTTTTAAGTATTTTGTTAAAGTTGTAACATATTGCACCAAATATATCGTCCCTAAAAACACTACTCTTAACATGTGTTCTGTCACGTAAAATGTAAAAACATGTTAACATGTTGGTTCTTTACATTTCTGTTCTCGCCACATGTACACTACATAAAATGTTTACAGCACCCTGTATTACTCTTCATTACTTATTCTACATTTTCTGGGGGTATTATTAAATCTCATACTTGGTCGTCGTCTCTTCACTCGTGATCGATTAAAATACAAAAAACATCGATCGATCAATCAATCATTAACAAAGCAAGTGTACAACTAACCAAAAGAAGATCTCGACGCCTGCTGTTTGCTTTCCTGGTCCCCTTTACACACGCTTGAAATAAACGATCACAAGTTCAGTCGTCCTAAGTTAGAAAAATTGTTGTTGTCACTTTTAGTACGAGGCCCTGAGGACCTCGCAGGCCGTCGCCGATTCTCTCAAAGGGCACGGAGGAGAACAACCAACCGAAGTCTACCACGAAATCGGATTCGACCAAGATAACACCTATCATATCGATATCACGGTATTTTAAACACTCTCAGAACATCTTTCATATCTGTACACATTAAGATGTCTGTAAAAAGGGCACTTGTGTTTAAAAAGCGCGAATAAATCGTAAGCGAGACTACACAAAAAGTAAATAAAACTAATTTCACTTATGTATTCGATACAGAACTTAGATAGACGAATGATTGTTTTGTGTGTAGTGGTAACAAGGTATGTTAACATTATTATATTCGGTAACTAAAATCACATTTAACGGGCAATTAAACTGTACGTTAGTATTTAAAACAAAATTGAAGAAGGATCCTAACGTAAAATGACGATAAATTTAGTTCTGGCCAGGAAAAGTAATGTCGTTTTAAATTGTTAAATAGAGCCACAAACATCATGATCCTTTAACTGTCCCATGCTAAGTGAGTACTCATCCATTAAAGATAAATCATCTTTTTTTACTACCCAACAGATGTCTAAATTTAGACTAGATTTACCAACAATTTCATTTCATAGGCATTTTTCAAGGTAATTTTTTGTCTTTTATTAGAACAATGAGTATATCCAATCTGTCGGCCGTTGTCTCCAAATGATGTTGCGTATCGACGAGTACCGTTTCGCCTTCATCTCCGTCGATGGTATATCGACCCTCTTATCTGTCCTGTCTGGTCGAGTTAATTTTCAAGTTCAATATCAGCTGATATTTTGTCTGTGGGTGCTCACTTTTAACCCACTACTCGCAGAAAAAATGAACAAGTTTAATGTTATTCCCATCCTAGCAGACATCTTAAGTGACTCTGTTAAAGAGAAAGTTACGAGGATCATCCTTGCTGTTTTTAGGAACCTCATAGAGAAACCTGAAGATGGTCAAGTTGCTAAGGAACACTGCATCGCAATGGTTCAGTGCAAAGTGGGTAGAAAATACTTGATTGTATTGACTTCTACTTTTTCAAATTCATAGCAACAAATGCATAGAATAAAACTTCACAGTTTTTATTAATTGTTCTTGGAATCAATTTGGTACTTTACTTTGAGTCCTTAACTCAAATTTGTTACTGCAACAATATTTGTTATGATTTTTATTCAATTAATTTTTGGTACATAGAATTTTATTTTAACGCGTATATTTTTAGGTACTTAAACATTTAACAATTCTTGAACAGCGTAAATTTGACGATGAAGACATCACAGCTGATGTAGAATTTTTGATTGAAAAATTACAAAGTTCTGTGCATGACTTAAGTTCCTTTGATGAATATGCCACTGAAGTAAGCTCTGATATTATAGTTAATTTGCAATAACCTGTTGAAATAAATAAAAATAATTTTATTTTCAGGTCAAGTCTGGACGCCTTGAATGGTCTCCAGTTCATAAGAGCAAATTCTGGAGAGAAAATGCTGAAAGATTAAACGAGAAGAACTATGAACTGTTAAGAATATTGATTCATTTGCTTGAAACCAGCAAGGACCCCCTTGTTCTTAGTGTAGCATGTTTTGACATTGGAGAATATGTCCGACACTACCCTCGTGGCAAACAGTACGTTGATTTTCCCAAATTTCTTTTTTACTGTCTAATTAGAGACACATGAAATTGTACTACTGTTTTTATAGCGTTATAGAGCAGCTTGGAGGCAAACAGCTTGTGATGCAACTTTTAGCCCATGAAGATCCAAATGTCCGTTACGAAGCCCTGTTGGCTGTTCAAAAACTTATGGTGCACAATTGGGAATATTTGGGTCGCCAATTAGAGAAAGAAACGGGAGGAGAAGTGAAACCTTCTTCCGGTGTTATTTCCGGTAAAGCTTAAACCCATTTTTTACCAGTATTCTTTGTACCAAGTGTAGAATATTTTTATTATAAGTAGTTCTTACAAGTAACACACGATTTATCCTAATAGCTTAAAAAATCGATTTTTGCCGATGAAAGGGCAGTTTAATAATCTTTAAATGTTTTAAATATATACATTCCCTGCTCTTTAGATCTATCAAATGAAGATATATTGCATCATCGAAGTCATCACAGATGATCTTGAACGGAAAGTTGTTTTCAAGTATCAAATTGTATAATAATATTGTAAATAAATTGCTGGTTGTAGATAAAGTGATAGATTGTTGTAAAAATTATAATGTGAATAATAACAATAAATTTTATTGATAACCGTATTACTTTTTATTTTTATTTAGAAACCACTTTTAAAAAATAGATTTAGTGTGTTACTGCTTAATAACAAAAGAAAAATAAGTTATTATGATCTATTTCGTTGTGAAAATCACAAAATATACACATACAACATAATTACTTATACCTAACACAAACACATTTATCAACAAAGCTCATTGGCCTCCTATATTTACTTCTACACAATTTTTTACAACACGAGTTTAAATTACCTTATGAAAAATCTTATTATTGTTATAAATATATAGCATATATGTATAGTCCTTTAAGAATGATAATTAAATGCAATACATTGGCAAAAAAATTACGGATTAATTCAAAATACAACAAATGATAAATAATAAACCACCAGAAAAAATATGCATGTTTTTTAAAGAATTCTTCTCATAACCAAAGTAATTTCTTTTCCAAAAAACACAACATATTACAACTACATAACTGGGATGTAACTCGATCACTTATGAGATAATTGGCAACAGCTATATTTGTTAAGTTACCTGTTTGGTCTGTGCGATTTTTTTGTGGACTAGTAAAAGTACTGATTAAAATTAGAAAAACACAGCCACAGTAATGGTAAATGGGGGCTTAAATCGAGCTCATATTTTTAGTGTGATGGCACATTTTCTGGTAAAAGAATTATAGAAAAAAATATAACAAATTTTTTTTCCGTTTTTGAATGCGCCACAAATAAAATATCACAATATTATTAATACTTTAAACTTCTTTAACCAGAAACGATAATCCAGTTAACTAATTTTAATGTTTATTTTCTGGTTAAAAAGGTATCAACCGAATGTCAACATAGGAGATAAAAATTAGATAATAACTATAATTCTTGACATTTAACAAATTAAAACCCTGTATAAGTAAAGCTTACTTCGAAAAGGTAGCATAAGTAAAAAATTAAGGCATTACCTTAGCAAAAGCGTGTAAATGATCCTAGTCGACGCTTACGTTTTTATTCTTCTACCCATTTTTGGAAAACCATTCCTGGTTGGCTTGTGTCCATTTCGGGATTCAAAACGTGAACTTTTATTCCTCGACTCAAACACAACGTCCGAATCGGTGTCACTGTCTGTAAGGTTGTCCTTTCTAGAATCTAAAATAAAAAGAATTACTAAAAATTGACCACCATGTTGACAAAAATTATTATCACATACATGGAGGCAAATCGTCGGTTTCTTCAATTAATTTGTAAGAGTTTGGTTTGGAGTTTAACCTCCTACGGACGCACCAACTGAAGCACAAGTAAGCAGCACCCCATAAAATTCCAATTAATGCTACTACACTGCATATCACACCCAAAACAACGTACAATATACTCCATCTGCAATCTGAATCCTCTTCAAAACCAAAGTATAAATTAAACAGGTCCTGAAAATACATAATCAACGTCAGCATATTTCACCCTTAAAAATTCCATCGAAATAACTTTAATGCAACAATTTCCAACAACCTTAAAAAAATATTCACCTCCTCGCATCGGTACAAACCCCGCTTGATTGAGAATAATTTAAAAAATTGCAAAAAGTAATCAAAGCTTACACCATTTCAATGAATAAACTTACTTGCATCCAGAAGGCCTCGCAAACACATCGTCGTGTTTGTTCGTCGCATACACCATGACCTGAACAATTATTTTGGCAAATAACACTCTGTAAACGTGTGACTTGGAAACCCAAAAGACTTTCGTCGACCCGTAACTTTTTTCGAAGTTGCTCTACCACGACACTAGCAGGCAATGGTTTGCCATGCCTGTCTTCGACGTAGAAGCTTAAGATAGCCCTATTTGTACCAGATTCAGGCTTCAAACCACGTTCCTAATAAATAAAACTTGGAGTGTAAAAAGTTTGATTCAAATAACAACTTAAAGGAGTTTCTTTTCTTTTAATCCCCTAATTACCTTCAAAACTGCCCCGTCTTGTACCAATAAGGCCAATTTTCCTTTAGCAATGTTATACTGAGACTCGGTGAGAATTTTTGCATTGGTTCCTATAGTGACGTCAACCATATGATAAAGCATAGGATCGCCCTTAACAGTGACCGTTACTGTGTCCATATCGGTTTGACCTTGTTCATCATACACAGTTAATGTGAACACGTACTTCCCCGGTATTGCACCAGTTAACATGAGCACAGGCGTTTCGTCGGACTTCTCTGCTATGCTACCGATCGCCAAAGATGACTCATCACGGGTCCATTTCCATTTAGTTACCTTCCAGTCATCTTTAGATAGAGACCCGTTTATGTAAATAACATTACGAGGTAATTCGACCTCGAAATCACCTCCCGCATTCGCTTTTGGTTTCTGATTCTCGTCTACTCAAAAATAACAAGAAGATTAAAAAGAAATGTTTGGACCAGTGAACTACTAATGAATAATTAACCCAATTGATAGGTATTAAGAAAATAAAGAAAAATAGAATTTATAGTAGAACTGTTGCAAAAAATAAGGAGTAATTGGGACACAAAGTTAAAAAATTTTTGGTATGATTTTTAAAAGCACTAAACAAAGTCTTTTAAAGCTTTATGCACTCAGTAATTACGAAAAAAAAAGATAAAAAATCTTACTGAACCAAGCATACTATTTTGGTTAATATGATTGAAACTTATAGTGAATGGCTATCTCAAGTGTATATTTATTCTAATTTTAATTATCTAAGATTATTACCAGTTAATAATTATTTACATTGAACTCACTTTGATTAACAATGACAAAAACCGTATCATTGGCCACGTTTTCGTTATCGTCCGTTACAAACACCCTGAATTGGTAAACGCCCTTTGTTAACCCTGTTACATTCGTAACACTTGAATTTTGCCCCATTATAGCTGCTGTGTTTGGTCCTTCGACTTGTTTCCATTGGTAGCCCACGATCTTATTATCATCAGTACTACCACTTGCATCTAAAGTCACCCACGTTTGTGGTAAACTAATCGTTATGTTACTTCCCGCCCTGGCCTCAGGAGGTTTATTTGTGGGGGGTTTTACAAAGACGTGCACGTCAGCTGTACTAATTTGATTCTCGCTGTCGGTAACTTTTAGAACGAAGGTGTACATACCTTCCTCCAGATTTGATAGTTTTAAATAAGGAGTTCGAGTGTCTTGCATGTCAACAGCTTTATTAGCATCACTTGCGCTCTTGGTCCATTCCCATGCGACTATCGCATGGTCATCAGAACTCAAATTGCCATTTAATGTTATCGAATTATGAGGCAAATACAAAATTTCATTTTGACCTTAAAAGAAATAAATAGACTAAATTTCAAAAAAATTAAATGGGGTTTATGTTAAAAAATCTTTTATTTTGAGTAATTTCCAAATATTAAACTTAAAATTTCATTATTTTTTTCGTTTTCCCAATATATCAATATATATTACTTCCAAATATAACACCAAACGATCTGACTGGCAAACAGGCAAAAAGAACGAAATTATAAGTTTTTTATTTTAATTTTGAATATGAAACGTTAAAACAGTTTTTCACATTTTTTGTGTTATTAAATTTCTTAAGTGACCATAAATTATTGTTATTAATTAAATATTATTGCTCAAAATATTTACGCCTTTATGAGATATGTAAAAAAAATTGTTACCAGCATTTGCTTCTGGGGGGTAATCAGTTACTTTAACGACAGTTATGTTAGCAATATTCGAATTTGTTGCCTTATCAGTGTCGGTGATGGTCAATTTAAATGTGTAGTTCCCAGGAATTTTCAAATCTTTAAGTTGTAACGTAGGCGTTTCTTGGAGTTCTGGTTCATAACCTACAGAAAAAAATAGAAGTACAAAATAAGAACTAATTTCTTCACATTTTATTTGTCATTTTCTTACCAAGTGGTCCCTGAACTAAGTCCCAATGCCAGGTGGTAATACCGTCATCATCAGATGATGATGAACCATCAAGAACTGCTCCTGTATTAGGAAGCTTAACAGTCTGATTTGCTGGAGTGATAACTACAACAGGAGGTTTGTTGACCCTTGATGGAGGCAAGACTGTAACATTGGTGAATGCCTCCCCATAGGAAACGTCATTTGAAGCCGTCACCTAAATAATTCATTACTATTATACACAGAAACAACTTCATGATTTTCTGAAATATGATTGTAACTTTAAGTATTTTTTTTTTAAATAAATATTTAATAAGTAAAAGCAATAAACATAGACATGCATCTTTAAGTAAACTTAATTAATACCTTGAAAGTGTATAATCCTTCAGAAAGTTGAGATAACTGTAATTGCTCTCCATTTTGATGTTTAACAGCTGCATTGCCTTCAGGCTGTTGTATCAAGTTCCAATCGTACTGATACCCTCCTTTTTCAGTTGCTGGTGGATCAATGAAAGCAGTTAATGTGACTTCATTTTCAGGTAATTTTACCTCTTTAGATTCTACAGTAATTGTAAGCTGCTTTAAAGAGGTATTTGTTGAGCTTGATACTGGTAAAATTTGCTCTGAAAATCCATTGAGTACATCATGAATTCCTTTATCTTTAAAATCCAAAACCAATGTACAAAGTCCAGATGGAGAACGAGCAAAACCTGTTTTACATCGACATGTTCCTATAAAAAGGATACTATTACAAAAAGATAATACGTAATTTATCAACAAATGTAACCTGAACGAGATTTTGGATGATTTTGTATGCATTCTTCATTTATTTCACAAGCTTCTGGATTACCAATAGTGCAGCCAGAAGCAAAATTAAAATTTGACTCATCCATTTGTATCATAGCTTCTTTATAAGCCTTTTCAAATTCTGTAGGGTTGTTTAAAATGTTCAACATTTCTTTATCAAAAGGTTCTCCAATGTAACCTATAAAAACAATTAATTAACAGCTAAAAATAATAAAGTACATATTAACTTACTGCCACCCTCAACTATATCTGCCCATGTTTCATCACCATTGACCGGATTTACAAGCACCATAGTTACATCATCCATATCATCTTGGTTTGTTGGTGATGGGGCACAAACATCATTGCTAACACACTGAATGTGGTAACATTTCTTGTTAACAACAAAAACAACATTGCAATTTTCTTTTACACAACACTTTAATACACAGGATTTTAAAGACGTTGCCTTTGGAATTTCAGTGTATGTTCCTGCAAAAATTACGGTAATTTATCGACTTTGAAAAAAGAGATAAAATCAAACAAATTACCTGCTGTTAAATTTGCACGAGGGACATAGCCTTTAAAAGGTGTTCTGTACAAATGTGGGCAAACATCATGGTAATCACTTTTATAATTATAAAGACTAGATTCAGTAAATTGCACTATCGAAATTATAAATAGAACAGCAGAAATTAATTGCACCATCACTTTTAAAGTCAGTTAATGCCTTTAAAATTATCAAAAACTAATCAACAACTTAACCTTTGATGACAGAGAAGTCTTACATTAGTGAATGTCACAGATAAAAAGTGGATTACCGTGCCCTCGACAATTTTTATGTAGAAAAAATTCAATTTATCACATTACTGAACACTTATTTCCGCTTATTAATAAACTAATTAAATTACATATTATAATTACAAAACACTTTGTGACACCATATCAGAACAATATCAGAACTTTTTTAACCATAGACAAATTTTTTAACTTATTTTCACAATAGATAAATAGAATCGTCATAGAATCATAGAATCTTATACAAAAGCAAACATAGACCAAAAACTCTTTGATATTTGCTAACCGTGTCTAAATAAGCGTTATATTGTACAAATACAAAATTGAAACACTACATTACGAAAACTGTACTTTTCTTAGATCTCATTTAGTAATTACAAAAGTTAATACGAAAAATGACAAATTGTATGCTAAAAAAGTGTAAATTTAAGTAATACATAATATTTTAATTTCTTTAAAATTTTGTATATGTACACCTATATTTTTAAAACATGCATTAACTTTTAGTTTAAAATATGCGTTGAAATAAAAATACGTTAAATTTTTACAATTTAACTGATGCATATAATTTGTTAATAACAAAAGGTAACGAATGAAGTAATTTTAAAATGGAATGAGATAAGAGATAAGGCATATTTTTGCTTACGATTAATCTACAAAAAACTTGCTTTGCAATTCAATTACTATATATTATTTTCTATAAGCGATACTGCGAAAATAGATTCGCTGATTTGTGTAGTTACATAAATTATATTTAATGCAATTACTTAATTCATAATACTCATTTTACGTGTCTATTAGTGCAACTAAAGTAAAAATGCAATCGCTGAAAGTGGTAGAATTCGATAAATTAGGTCAGTATACAAATTGTACAACTACTTTTCTCTTTTTATATTTTCAGTATTCTATTTGAATTAAAAATTAACTTTAATTACTGCGTCCCATATCAACAGAATCAGAAACCATTTTATTGTAAGAGCCAATTAATAAGATAATCCGCTTAATTTAAAATGCAAAAAAAATGCGTAGGAGCGTAAACAAAAAAAGAGATTTAATATGTACATTACAACGTAATTATAGTTATTACTATATTGTATATAGATACAATTATGCATGCTGACATAACTTGTTAGATCAGATAAGCATTTATTATCTTTTTTCCTTTTTATATCACCTAATTTGTTACACTACTTGATAATGCAATACATGTACACCAACTAATAAATAAAAAACGTAACTTTTTAATTATTAAAAGTAACACAATGATAACTTTTCTAGAATTTTACAAGAAGAAAATACAAGTGCTATTTCTATTTTTAATAACAAATATTATATGTTGAGTAGATCTTTTTGAGGATAATTATTCATTAGTCATCAAATTTAATCCTCGTTACTAATAAAATAAGGAAACACAAACACATATTTAATTGTATGTATCTGATTGAAGCACACGAAATTATTTAAATTTCTAAGAAGGCGCGGTGTAATTCCTCAAAACTGGTGTTATGTTTAACCGCCAAACAAAATACCATTTTTTTTTTTGCGTTTTTTAGTTAACAAATATACCGTCTAAGTGCAATGGTTTCTGACTGTTGCCTGCACCATGGTGTATAGCACTTGTCAACCTTTGGTACACAGCAATTATAAACCAACTCAACCCAACCCAACCTTTATGCATTCCTTAAAAATTGGATTGCAGTTAGACAAGATGTCATGATTGAAATGTTAAGTTCTATGCACTATAAGGGCATAGAAACAGTACATATATATACTAGACATAAATTTGACCAATATAATTTGTTTATTTAGATACTACTATACAAGAACTTCTTCGTGAAGCTACCAAGGCACGCGAGTTTGCTTATTGTCCCTACAGTAACTTTTCGGTAGGAGCATGTTTGCAATGCGAAGATGGGACTTTATATAGAGGATGTAATGTCGAAAATGCGGCATACCCAGCTGGTATTTGCGCAGAACGAACCGCATTCGTAAAAGCAATAAGCGAAGGCAAAAGTAAATTTAAGTCACTTGCGGTTATTGCGAACCAAGAAAAATTTATTACCCCACCTTGTGGAATTTGTCGTCAATTCATGAGCGAATTTGATGATATTACCGTTTACCTGGCAAAACCCACACTTGAAAGTGCTACCGTACTTAAATTAAGTGAGCTTTTACCCTTCCAATTCCAGTTGAACTCTGACTTTACTTTTTAAGTACTTCTTGTTTTAATTATATGGAAGACAAAACTCCAAACATTTAAAAGTAAATTAAATGAATATTATAATTCTAATTGTAGGGATGTAATCCCCTCTTAAAACGCATTTATTGAATAACAAACAATTTCAATTTTTATACTATAAAATAAAGTTATTAATATTCTGTTTATTTTATTGAATATTGAGTTGTTTTAACTTAATTAAATGTAATAGTATTCACAACAATAAGTCAAAAGGTGAGTGAGAGTACTTTTCTACACAACATAAAAAATCTTTTGAGAACAATTTGTTTAATCATTAAATAAAAATAATTTAATGTTAAAAATCGTTTGAAAAACGTTTTGATTCTAATTGTTTATATTGCCCTTTAAACCATTGACATCAGTGTTAGCTGAAAGCACTCATATTTTTTTAATATATATAATTAAAAAAAGATTTTAG